ATGCAAAATTCCTACTGTGATCACAGAAACTTTGATAGTGTAAACCGTCCTTTATAACACTCAGTAAGTTTCCTCAAACATTTCTTACAAATTCTTTAAAACTTAGAATTTATCGATGCAAAATTCCTACTGTGATCACAGAAACTTTGATAGTGTAAACCATCCTTTATAACACTCAGTAAGTTTCCTCAAACATTTCTTACAAATCCTTCCAAACTTAGAATTTACCTTTGCAAAATTCCTACTGTGATCACAGAAGCTTTGATAGTGTAAACCATCCTTTATAATACTCAGTAAGTTTCCTCAAACATTTCTTACAAATCATTCAAAACTTAGAATTTACCTTTGCAAAATTCCTACTGTGATCACAGAGACTTTGATAGTGTAAACCATCCTTTATAATACTCAGTAAGTTTCCTCAAACATTTCTTAAATCCTTCAAAACTTAGAATTTACCTTTGCAAAATTCCTACTGTGATCACAGAAACTTTGATAGTGTAAACCATCCTTTATAACACCCAGTAAGTTTCCTCAAACATTTCTTACAAATCCTTCAAAACTTAGAATTTACCTTTGCAAAATTCCTACTGTGATCACAGAAACTTTGATAGTCTAAACCATCCTTAATACAGGTTCGACTGTAGACAGTATAGAATTTAAAATGAATTATTTGCTTAAGGCTTCAGAACATGCAGCTGCAAAAATGAAAAACTTGTCAATCAGTTGAACAATTTGAATACGTTAACTTCAATATAAAGCCAGTTGGTCAAACGAGAATGAGAGTCGATGCAGACAGTTGAGAAGCGAGAGTTTGCACGCGAGTTTTCTCAACTCTCATGCCCCGGTCAAACGAGAACAAGAGTTGCATGAGAGTTGATGTAATGATGAGAGTTGAGAAGCGAGAGTTTGCACGAGAGTTTTCGCAACTCTCATGCCCCGGTCAAACGAGAACAAGAGTTACATGAGAATTGATGAGAATTGATGAGAATTGAGAAGCGAGAGTTTGCATGAGAGTTTTCTCAACTCTCATGCCCCGGTCAAACGAGAACAAGAGTTGCATAAGAGTTGATAAGCGAGAGTTTGCATGAGAGTTTTCTCAACTCTCATGCCCCGGTCACACGAGAACAAGAGTTGCATGAGAGTTGATGACAGTTGACTAGATGTTACCGCGCGATAGCAAAAACTCTTATCAACTCTCATCAAAATTTGAACCAGTTCGAGTTGATGAGAATCCAACGTGAGCAAGAGTTGCAACTCTCTTCCTCATTTGACCGAGGTTTAATTTACGACAGGAACACGCTTCGCAAAACAGTTCAGGAGTGCAAATGCGCTTTATAGGCAATGGGATGCCTATAGCAACTTTTTTATTGCGCAATGGCACAGGAACACATTGCATTTGTAGAGACTAGAGATAACCTTTTTGTGATTACACAAATTAAGTGCTCGGACTTCCTGCACATATCTGTGTTAAGCATGTAGATTGCTTTTTATTATCATTACTGATATTTTTAAGACTGTGAATTTTTGCCAAATGATGACAGAGAATAGCTTCTTATACACAGTTGTGTTAAGCTTGTAGATTGTTTTTGAATCATTTTGTATATTTCTTCTTGATAAGTCAAGACTGGAAATTTTTGTCCAAATGATGACAGAGATAACCCGAGGGTGACCGCTTACACTATCAAAGTTTCTGTGATCACAGTAGGAATTTTGCATTGGTAAATTCTTGAAGGATTTGTAAGAAATGTTTAAGGGACAAATCCTTCAAAACTTAGAATTTACCGACGCAAAATTCCTACTGTGATGATGACGGTGAATAGCTTCTTATATACAGTTGTGTTAAGCCTGTAGATTGTTTTTGAATAATTTTGTACATTTCTTCTAAGTCAAGAATGAAATTTCTTGTCCAAAGGAAGACAGGGAAAAATTTCTTTGAGGTCCGCCAAATGTTTATGAAATATATGAATATAAAAGCCTCGAAAGGTTTAACTATACTATAAATACGCGACGAAGCGCCTTCGCTCGAAACGTCGAAGTTCTCCTTGTATTTTCAGGTAATGAAATTCCTATCAACCAAAGTTTTGGTATTATTGCGGCACTACATGAACTAGCACAGACAGTACAAGTTACATACACGCGAGCATACATGAATCAAGTATGAGAAAAACATAAATATTTTGATTACTAGAAATCGCCAGAGGGAGACAAAACAGTAAAACCGCGCGCAGCCACAATATT